ACACACACACACACACACAAACACACACACAGACAACCCCGCGACAATATGCTTTTTGTACTGCTGTTACACAGCACAAAACGCATAATCAGTCCATCCACAATTCGTTCTGAGAAAAACAAGCATGAGTCTCGGGGTTAAAACTGCCATCAGCTACCAGTAAAGATCCAGAAAGGAGTGAAGTCGGTTTCCTTCTGGGTCCTCCCGCTTCTCAGTCAACGAGATGTGGAAAAAGGATGACTTCTACTTCATGAGTGGAAATTTGTGCGCAGCGATGTTAGTTACCACTTTTCTGGAGAACCGAAAACAGCAAGAATTTCATGCTTTTCCTTCTTGTACAAACTATTCGACTTACTATATAAATAGGTTAGAAACTGTACAGATTATTAATCTCTATTTGTATGCTTTTCGTGATTTGCATTTATGCCTGGGAAGAAAAAAGAAAAGTAATACAAGCTACCTCAATGGAATCACTGGTACAATACTAGTAACTCTGCGTTGTTCGCGATCAAAATATTCGTAGCGTCCACAGTGAAGTTTCTTCTCATCGATGTCGCAAAATGCTGTCACTTTGCGGCGATTCTCATTTTTTAAAGCCCTAAAAACACCTACTGATATAAAAACATTTTTTAATAAATAAATAAACACTTTTTTACAGAAAATTACTGACCAAAACAAGCCCGGTGTTGACGAAACCCACCAGAGGAAGAACATTTAAATAGGATCGAAGTGAATAATGGCCAATTTCCTTCTCCCCACTTGAAATTCGCTAGCTATTCGGATAAACTCGGGAAAGATAAGCTTATGCAAAGAATATGCTCCTAAAATTTTTGCTTTCTACATTCAACTAATTCATCAACTGAGTTATTCAGGTACACTAGAAAACAAACCCACACATACACAGAGATATGATTCAGCCACAACGCATTTTCGTTTTCACAAATGCCACACATAAAAAACAGTAACCTGTAAAAGCGCCTGCCGACTTTACCAGCGCCCCAAATCATAAAATTCTGCCATTTTGTCAAAATCAACTCTTCAAACATGGCTACTCTCATTTTCCAGATCGATTCTTCCTTAACAGCCAGTGACGCACATTTCGCATGGTACCGATATAAGACTAAACATTCGTCAACCTACAAGAAACAACAAAATAAGAATTATTTCACAGATGTAACGAGAAAAAATAAATAGCAACGCGCACCAGACTAGCCGGTGTGATCATGCGTTTTGTGCAGTACAACCCATCAAACGATTGCCTATTAATGATTTTCACTGCTTTGTACTTCTGTCTATGCAAAAGTAGTTCAAACATTCAAAAATAATTAAAAATTTCACGCACCAGCGCATGAAAGGTGAATATCTTTCCGTGATTCCCGAGTTAATAGTTTAACTGCCAAAATTCTCACTAAGCCGTAGGTGATACTCAACAGCGAGGGAATGCTGAATTTGAATAGGCAAGGTTGAGCGTGGGCAGGGGGTCATTACCCTAAAATTTCAGCCTCCTA